AACCTTGGCCATAACTTTTGAACAGTTGGTGCTAGGGCTTTCATACATATGTAATCCTTGTGAAAAGACCTTCTTTAGGATACCAACAACTTTGACCCTTTGACCTTGAAGTTTGACCTACTTTTGGAAAACTTTAACCTTGGCCATAACTTTTGAACAGTTGGTGCTAGGGTTTTCATTTTTCACATGTGTACTTGTGAGAAGGCCTTTCCTTTAGATACCAACAATTAAAGCCCATTGACCTTGACCTTGGAGTTTGACCTACTTTTGGAAAACTTTAACCTTGGCCATAACTTTTGAGCAGTTGGTGCTAGGGCTTTCATATTTCACATGTGTATTACTTGTGAGAAGGCCTTTCCTTGGGCATCATTAATTTTGACCATTTGACCTTTGACTTACTTTTGAAAAAACTTTAACCTTTTCCACATCTTTTCAAGGGTTGCTGCTAGGGCTTTCATACTTCACAGGTATATTCCTCGGAACAAGACCTTACTTTGGGTATCAACATATTTGATTTGCATTTGAGAAAGTTTAATCTTCGCTCTAAGTTGCCATAGGGGGGCATCAGTGTTTCACAAACAAATTTTGTTTTTTTTAAATTGAATTTCGATATTCAGCCTTTAGGGAAAAAATTTTTAAAAAAAGGCAACAAAATCCTACCTACCGAAATTATTTTTAACTAGCATATAATAGTACACAAACATTTTTTTTTCTTCGGCCTAGAGGAATACAGAGGAATATTAATGTAAGATTATATATTCAAATACATGAACACACTGCTTTTAGTTTTGCTTGTCGGGTTGTTTCGTCTTTTTTTTAAACAGTTTACTCCTACAGATTCCATCTAAATATTTGATCCCCCTGTTTCCCAACCCTTCTTCCAAGGGTCACGATTTGAACAATTTGAATCTAAACTACATGGGTATATGCTTGTTTATTAAATAATATTACTGTCTCCCGACTGTTCATAAAAGAAATTAAAAAATATGATAAAAAGTGAGCAACTAGCTAGCTCACATACCCCAGGCTCCCACATTGATTGATTATGCTACACATAATGAGTGGCAATGCTATGCATTAAAACAAATAATTACACCCCCCTTTCCCTTTTACAGATGTTTGTCACAGCACAATCAAATCTATTTGTAATGTCCTGAGGATAACTGAATAAAACATTTCCAAATGAGAAAACAGCTTCTCTTCATCATTTTAAATCATGATGCACTAGTTAAAACATTTCACACAAGTTGCACAAAATAATAGTGTATTTTTGCCAAACTTCCATGTTCAAAAAGGGCTTAATTCCCAGGAAAAAAAAATGTCCTGCAAATATGCAAATCTTATGGTATGTTCTAGCTTATAAGCTATAAAGTTTCATGAAATTCTGGCAAGTGTAAAGTGGTATAAGAGGAGTTAATTGTGCTGATCGACAAACCATTGCAGTAGTACAGTCAAACCTTGTTGGGACCGAGAAAATACTTTGAGATATCTGAGGCTTTGAGATATTGAGGGTAAAATACTTAAAGAATAAGTGGCTGGGACTTCCAATTCACTTCACATATCCATAATATTCGAGATATTGGTGTTCGAGATACCAAAGTTCAACTGTACATTCAAGCTTGACAACACTTCTAAGTTCAAAAGGGGCATATCTCCAAGAAAAAAATTGAATTGGAAATTCCTGCAAATTTGCACATCTACATAGTATGTCCTTATCAACTACAAAGTTTCATGAAATTTTGTTCAGAGGTTTCAGAGGAGTTGTATTGACAAATTGTTTCAGCAGTTGATTTTGGCCAAACTTTCCAAGTTGAAAAGGGGCATAACTCATGGGAAAAATTGAATTGGAATTTTCTTGCGAATATGCACATCTACACACTAGGTCTTTATTAACTCTATAGTTTCATGAAATTCAGGTAGGGGTTTTGGTCAAATACATGATACCCTCCACAACCTGTGTGGTATAATAAATATTCTTGTTTAAAACTTTAATCCCTCTATCGTGACCCAACCTTCATCCAAGGGCTCGTGATTTGAAAAAACTTGCATCTACACGACATGAAGATATATATTTAAATGACTTGTGGCCCTGCATTTCTTGAGGTAAAGATTAAAATATATTCCAATAATACTGTAATACAAACTTTTATTCCTTTTCTGGCCCCATCCTAGCCCCAGGGGGACATAATTTGAACAAATTTATTCCTTTACTGGCCCAAAGGATCTTGGGAAAAAGATTTTTATTTGACTCCACCCTATTTTCTGTATTTCTTAATTATTGTATAATTATATATATTTTGGAAAAAAACTAAGAGCCCCATTTTTGTTCTAAAGCACTCCACAGACAACTTTGGCTAGAGCTCACTAAGTTTGCAAAGCTTTTCACTCTACATAGTTCACTATCTACATAGAGTTCTAAGGTAAATATTCACAGATTTATCATTTTTGTTCTACATTTGATTTTCACCGACATTGATCTTACTCACTGTAGAATCTATCTGATACATGTTGACACAAAATCATGTACATGCAAAATGTATCGTGTCAATCATGTAACTGGTTTGTTCAAGAGTGTGCTAACTTCTCCCTTTGTTTTACTAGGGGTGGGTATCGGCAAAAATTTTGTATCATGATATATCACGTTTTTTTCCCAATAATATCACAATAAATTGCGATATTTTTACACACAATTTTTACTACATTTTCAAATGAATTTCCATAATATTTCTTAAAAATATGCTATAATAAAAACATAACTCTACTTTTTAAATTTTTATTTATTTAATAAAAAGCATGTTTGGATGCCGTTGTTTAACTGTTTTCAACATTTTTTACACTTCCTTAATTGTAATTCAATAGTTTGAACAAATAAATGAATAATTTCCGGAATTTATAGTTATGTACCAAATACTGGTATTTTAGACTCCGTATGATGATATGTATCATGCAATAAAAAATCGCGATATACCGGTATGCCGATAAAATCGCACATCCCTATGTTTTACACAATATACATGATTTTCTTGGTTAATTGGTAAATATCTACAAATTGGTACCGCATAGAGAAATTTCAGACAACTCATTACTTGAATGAATATGTGGAAGAAAAGTAATCTCTTGTAGAATTGTATCCTTAAATTCACATGTATATAGAATATATAAATACACAGATGCTGAGAAGAAAGATGTGAAACTGGGCAGTTTTTAAATCATACTCTTGGAACTTTTTTCAATCTCAGAAATTCGAGTTAACTAATGATGACTGAGTCTAGTTAATATTTACAAATGCTATACTTTCATGTGAATTAGTTGAATCTGATTCTTCGAGAAACATTTGCTAAAAAACACTATTACCCCCTGAATAATGAAGCCATGCCCTCTAGCATAGCAACAGTCGACATTGCTTGACGACAGGTGATATTCCAAAAAATATTGCCTGTGCAGAATTTGTGCATGCAAGGTTCACTGTAATATGTATTTGTAAAAAACATTGAGTATAATATGATAAATACTGCATGTAGTTGAGTGTAACATTGAAAATTTTCACCCCTTGAAAACCATTGTCAACCTCGGCTGCGCCTTGGTTGACAATGGTTTTCTTGGGGTGAAAATTTTCAATGTTATACTCAACTACATGCAGTATTTATATAATATCAAGTATGTCAAAATATCACCACTGTATGTGACTTATCAGTCAATATATTATCCATCGGAAGGATAACTATGGAACAAATTTAACAGTCCCCAGAAAAACACAATAAAATACAGTGTCGCCATTCATGACTCCAATACTATACATGTAAATCATATACGGTACCAATTTTGATGCAACAGATGCATATGTCTCTTCAGTGATGCTCATGTCGAAATGTTGGAAATCCAAAACATTTTAAAAAGACTTGGAAGAGCTGAAAAAAGGTGCCAAAGACTGCAGCCAAATACGTCAAAGAATCAGAGCTATGCATGAGGGAGATAATCCTTAATTTTGAAATAAATTTCTAAATTTTACCACAGTAACTAAATATATATCCATATTTTCAAGCTAGTACCAAAGTACTTAGCTACTTGGCTGTAGAGACCCTTGGGGACTAACAATCCACCAGCAGAGGCCTTGACCCAGGGGTCATAATGTAAATCATATATGGTACCAATTTTGATGCACCAGATGAGCATTTCGACAAATTATGTCTCATGCCGAAACTTTGGAAATCCAAAACATTTTAAAAAGACTTGGAAGAGCTGAAAAAAGGTGGACGTGCCAAAGACTGCAGCCAAATATGTGGAAGGATCAGATATTAAGATCACCTGAGCCATATAAAAAGGGGGAAAATATGGAAGTATTAGGCCTTTTTGCCCCCCAAAATTGAATTTTATGGTTAAAAGTTTAGTATAAAACTTTGTTTTTAAAAGAATTTTTTAACCTCATTCTCTAAAAACAATCAATAAATATTGTTTATTCAGTAAAAATAGATAGAAATACTTGTTAACAAAGCACATGCAGTGCATGTTTAGTAACATGATTTACGTTACTGGATCAACTGATAAGGGTTAGTCTTGCACACCATTCAACTGATTTGGGTTAGTCTAGCCTGCACCCACTTGAGAGATTAGGGTTAGTCCTCGCACAAGTATTCGACTGACAAGGGTTAGTCTCGCACCCATCAGAGAGATTAGGGTTAGACATCGCAAACTATTTGACTGATTAGAGTTAGACCCACATCGGCCTTGGAGATTTGAGTCCCCCCAAGAGATTAGGGTTAATGTCCTGTTATCACAGACACATCTTTTGGATTAATTAAGAAATTCTAAGTAATATCTTTCAGCTTCAACAGCATTTTGCTAGTTTGTTTACAATGAAATATGGCTAAGTTCGAAATAAACGACACTCTTGCAGATCTTTCGGATCTGGGGACCGGTTATAGAATCTACCAGTAACTACTAGTAGTACTAATAAACAAAACAGGAGACTTGACAGCATTTCTACATAGCAAAATCACAACCTTAATTTGAAGTACTTGGTCAGTCCTAAATCCTCCCATTTCTATAGGTAAGCCTAGTGAATGAATGACCAGATTAGCAACAGTCTCAACTGCGTTTCTTCCCGAGTTTGTTCAGAGCAGACAACGTGTTTTACCAAAATCCCGATCCCGACGTCAAGGCATTTACACCCTCTCAATTTTGGTAGAGTCTATTAGTGGTTAAGTAATAGACTCTTCCCTCAATTTTCTGGGTTCGAAGTAGGAAAAGTGCATTTATTTTCAATTAATAGAGTTGAAATTAATAAATAATCACAAAAATGTATAGGTTGCCATATTTTTTTTAAAGATGTCAGACATAAATAAACAAAAGTATCTGTCAGCATAAAAAACATACATTTTTAGTCAACAGTATTTATAAAATTATGTAAAAACTGGTTCAAATACATAATTCTGATACTGAAAGTTCCAAAATAATTGCTTCTTTATAAACATGTTTAAATTCTGAATATCAGGGGAACCATTTTACATTAGAAGTACAACAAAGAAAGTGTATAAGAAGGAGTTATTGCCCTTAGCACCACTTTTTAAAAGATTAAATAATTGATTAAATGAAGAAAATATTCAATTTTTAATTCTTTTACTAAACAATATTTTTCGTTATACCTATTGAAAAGCATTCTTGCAAAACATATGTTTCTATTGGGCATAAATTTAAATTAATAACATATTTTGCAAAAACCTTTGACATCACAGGAGGGTGGAAATACGTTTTAAATAGCGTATACTAGCGTATTCTATAGAGTTTTGAAGCTGGTTCCATTTGGTTACGGTGTCCACTAAAAATGGAAGATCTGCACTGGTTTGTGTTTGCGGCAGTTGTTTCCAGGAACTTGCTATTATTTTCACCTGATTTGATAGAATATTAGTATTTACACAGTTTCCAGAAGTTTTGAGTATGGATTTCCAACATATTTGGAGAAACTTTGGCAGTTCTAGTCTCTGTCAGGATGGTTTATGTACTCTCTCTCTCTCTCTCTCTCTCTCTCTCTCTCTCTCTCTCTCTCTCTCTCTCTCTCTCTCTGTACTATAAAAGGCCAGTGAGTATTTTTTACAACACTCTTTGTGAAGGGAAGGAAAATCGAGAGTTTTGCCGCACTTCTGAAATTCTTTCACACTGTGACAAAATATCCTTTTTATTCAATAAATAAATTTCAGTTTTTCACTGTTGAAAATGTTATAATTTTCCATATTAATGTATTATTTGGCACAGATTCATTCCTTACCATCGAGTTAGTACATTTAAACAAAATCAAATTTTAATCGATCAAAGCTGACACATTGGTTTAATTCGAATAATTGTACGTACAACTTAATAGAATCATTCCCGCGAATTCTGCACTCCATGGTGACTATCAACAATATGGCGGAAGTAACGATATTTTCCGGGGATTAGGAAAAAAACAGTTTATTCTTATGTTTTTAAAAAAGATAACTCCAAGGTACCTTTATTTTTCTTGAACACTTCATTATGGATTATTCATGGGAAACAATTCATGCTTTGGTTTGTTCATTTTCAGGTTTTGTAAATATTAGGGTTATAATACATAGTTACAATACTTTATCCTTCCCAGTACAATCACTACATTTAGCTGCGTAGCTTGAATTACCCACGTACTTGAAGTAGCTTTATTAAGCTACTCTAAAAGCTACTCCAATGCAAGTTTTCAAAAGTTTGCATTTTATATAAAATAGACCAAAAAAATGCAAGTATTTGACTACTGATATTTGTTCTATGGACCTTTTAAAAAGCAACCCAAAGCAAAGATAGTTAAACGCTGCTGCTTTTGAACACTTTTCAGGGTTAGAAACTCCCTAAAATTACAACTCGCAAATAGTTGCGAGTACCAAGAAAGTGAACTCGCAAAAAAGTCGCAATATTATAAGACTACTCGCAATTTTCATATAAAGTTAAATTTATATAAATTAAATACATGTAACTTAAGGAAAAAGTAACTACTGTACAATACACAAAATACAACTACAGTGTGACTTTTAGTTAAATTACTGATTTAAATCAAAAACATTGTGTTCTGTCAAATTATATAATACAGTTTCAATGCAAAAAAAAAAAAATCAACTCGCAAGTTCTTGCGAGTTACCTAATTTTTAACTCGCAATTCAGGAATTCTAACTCACGTTTTGCGATTGTAAATAGTGAATTTCGAACCCTGCTTTTATAAGCATGTATAAGAATTATGACTTCTCATTGTGCTGAATTATTACCAATCATCATTATGAACAGAATTTGTCTTCTTTGTTATTTCATGCTAAAAGTATAGCCATTTGGTCACAAATTATAACTGTTGTGTATTGCCCCAAAACTTAGAAATTTAATTGCAAATGCAATGAATGAGAGACACCTTGAAAAGTGATTTCTTCATGAATTGTTTTCAGACCAGTTGAAAGTTGAAAACTATCACTGCATCAAAGTGGGAATTTAAAAAAAAAGTTGTATGTAATGAAAAAAAAAGATCACTTAAGAAAATAAGTATGATTTAGTAGCTAAAAAAAGCTACTTCAAGTAGCTGAATAAAGCTAATCTCAAGTAATTCAAGCTTCGAAGCTAAATGTACTGATTGTACCAGAATTGTTTATATTCTTCAAGATTGAGACATTCTTTTATTTAGAAAAGGTGTGATTTTTGTAGATTATCATTATTATGGCACAGTATAAGTTTTTAAATGCAAAAATAAAAGAAGAAAAAAAGAAATATCAATAAAACCTGTTCCTCGAACTACAGCAAAAACTTGAGATGTTGCTCTTACGTGTAATTAAGCACTGAATTTGTAGATAGTGTAAACTAGGAAAAAAATGGAGATCAGTCGTCTTTTGAGTGACCCCTCCGAGGAAGAGGAACCTATCAGTAAACAGCTGACAATACTCATTGAACGTCGTAAAACTGAGGAGAAGAGGAAAGCCCTTGGTCATTGGGATATACTGCGGAAGTCCATCAGAAAGACAATTGATGCCGTAAAGGAGTCAGACTTGAAGAACAAAGTTGTGTCTCATGGAATTCATCACCTGCGCAAACTCAATCATGACCACTCTATAAAATCAGTAGACTTTATGAAGGATAGAAAAGTAAATTGAAATGATCTCTTCTCTTACATAGATATTTTTCATATTTGTAGTGTATGGATGTTAATTCAATATTTGTGGCTTTGACATTTTTTCTTCTTCTATAGAATCTGTGTATGAAATTTTCAAGTTTTGTTCACAAATTTTTGTTATATTTTTAAGGAATACTTGACAACAGATGGAGGGAATGTAACCATTTTTTTGGAGGATGGTCGCAAAAAAGCTACATACATTCCAGAGGAAACGATGGACACAATTATTTATTGTTCACACTCTGACCAGTTTGTAGGATTCACCAAAGGAGATGATGAACTCTTTGTAAGAGCATTATAGTTAACATTTTCCCCTTTTCATTATTCTCATATTAATTGATTTTATATTCAAATTCAACATGTTATAAAAGGACACTAAATCTTCAGTAATATCTGCCTCAAAAAGAAGATAGTTACAGTGAATTAATCAATGTGGTATTTTGATTTAGATTTTTGAAATTTTGAATAGTTGACTTACAGCTGTATCTAAGAAAAATAATCTATTTCTTATTGTTTCTATCTATTTTGAAGTTGATGAATAAAGAATTTGAAATCATCTCTCAAGCAAGAAATCCATGCAAAATAAATTTAGCCAAGTATAACCATAACACAACAGAGTTTGTAACATTTGGACCAGGGTATTTTGTGGTAAGTATAAAACAAAGCTGTCGTTTTAAGATCTCCTCCAAGGAAATGTTAATTGTTTATTGGCTCTACCTGTTTACGTTTCAGCTTGCTAATAGAATGAATTATGTAAAACATTTATACATTTGGTTGGGGTGAGGTTGGGGGTTGAAAATCAATGTACAATGTATCTGTGATTTTTTAATGTTGACAGGTACCTGTTATATATAGATTTTAAGAGGATTCTGATCGAGTTATCTTTCTTTTCATGTTAACATTTGCTTTTTCAAAGATATGATTTTGTCAATTTAAACTTTAAAAAAAGTCATTAGAACAGGATCAGTTTTAATTTTATCACTTTGGACTTGATATCACAACTATTTATACCTAATCTATAGTGTTGGGCTTTCCGCTATGGTGCAAGACATCTGATTCCTCGAAAGATGAACAAAATAGTATTCACAGCAGACAATGCTTTCTCTCATCTTGTTTTGGAAGAAACTGCGAGCCGTCAGCAACGTTGCTACCTGTCTCATGGCAAAGATGTTGTGGTAAGTGACCAAATAGTGAAAAAAAAAAATCAGGTCAAAAATAATTCTTTTGTAAAACTGACAAAATGTTTATTTTTTTACCCCTTATTTACTGTAAATACTATATTTAGATTAAATATTTTTAAAAAAATCAAGCATGTATTAGTAGTGATCTACATTTTAAAGCATCCACTTTCCACTCAAATTCAAAATTTTATTATACAGGTTTACAATGTATTTGGGGGAAATCAACTCACAATGAAAAAAGACCTCCATGAGCGCATGATAACTGGAATGACATTTTTTAATCCGCTGAAATACCTAATTACTGGTGCTAAAGATGGATCAAGTAAGTATTGATACCCTAAAATCAAAATATCAAATATATATTTTAAGCTTCATTATATACAAGTACATTGTATATAGATAAAAACAATTCATGTGCAATGATTGCTATATATTCCAGCTTATGATCACCTTATTAATCTACATTAAGTCTATAAATATATATATGTACACTTGAGGATATTTGACATCCAATTTCATTCAAAGTGAAGTAAAATGGGACTTAAATTTCTCAGAACTTTTTATTACCAGGATAAAAAAAGAATATCTGAACTTTGAACTCTTAATCTCATTTGCCTGGATTGTTTACAGTCAAAGTGTGGGACAATGAGTGGTACCTAAAGATGGTGTTTGTGGGCCACACCAGAGCCATTTCGGTTTTGTGTGTGTATCCAGATGGCCCAGCTGTTATTTCAGCCAGTCATGATTGTACTGTTAGAGTCTGGAACCTGGATTCTTGTGATGAAGTGGACAGGTAGGCTATCACAGGAAACGGACTGTAAACCATCTTCTTCTGTCATAATTACACTGTAAACCTTTCTACTCCTGTCATAAATATACAATTAAAATGTGCTGTAAACCAGTCTACTCCTGTCATCAGTATGCTGTAAACCAATTTAATTCTATCATAATTATACTGTAAACAATTCTATTGTGATAATTACACTCTCCTGGGGCTTTATTCTGTAGGCACTATAGTTCTATGAGAATTACATTTAAAACAATCTTTTTCTTGCCATTGCATAATTCTGTTGACGATCTACTTCAGTGATAATTACAATTTAACCCAGGGTACCTTTGTGATAAACAACTGACTTTTCTGTTTATAATCAAAGTCAAAATAACAAATGTTCATGAGTCTAACAATTAACTCTCAAATTTAATTTCAAAAATGTTTTTATCATAAAGTATGGATATAGACCCTTTTTCAGTATTGTTTGAAAATTTTTAATTCTTTTCATGAAATTGTAACAGAGTACATGAAAAGGTACAATGTAGATTGCGAGTACATGCAGTGGAGTTTATGTCTCCCAGTTGATTCGCTACACAAGAGCATGCTCTGCATATGAACAATTTTTAAAACAAGGCAAACTTTTGGCAAATAAGTTGATGAAACAAGAATATCAACAGTCTCAATTGAAATTAACATTTACAAATTCTATGGTCAATACATGACTTTGTAAGCAAATCTCTTGTTAAGTGGAACGTTGACTGGCCCTTTTCATACAAATTGTTGGCCTATTATTTTCACACTGAATTGTCTACAGATTTTTCTGTTTTCCCAATCAGTAAGAAGCACATGGCATGTATGACTGGTCAACAGGGGATGCTTACTCTTCCATGGCACCTGATTCCACCTCTGATGTTTATAGAGGTCCATGGTTGCTCTGCTCCAAATTTGTATTGTTTCAAAGGACTTTTGAACTTAATTACTGTTCGATATCTTTATACAGTGTATTTCATGTAAAAATTGCAACAGTGAAATGAAAGTCATATTTTTTATAGAGCTAAGTTAGATGCACCAGCCATTGGAATGGCCACAGAGCTGAATTATTTTGTGTTCTTCACTTACTCTTGGAAAACAGTAGACCTATGGAGAATCCAGCACCTGTTCAGCATTCATACTTCAATTGGGTAATAAACCATACTAGACAGTCAAACTTCATTATCTCAAACTCAAATAGGCTCACAAAAAATTAAGATATCCAGGGATTCAAGATTGAGGTTAAAATACTTAAAGAAAAAGTGGTTGAAACTTTAAAATCACTTCAAAATATTCACAGTACATGTATTGGAGAAGTATGTCATAAGAGATCTTTGATATTATATTTTTGTCACACATAACATGTCGTGCAATGAATCATTTAGATCCTTAGCAGATATATAAATATGTTGAGACATGTCATTCAATAATGATATACTAAGTATATAAGTAAAATTTTATGCAGACAAAGAGTGGTAGCCATAAAACAGACAAGTCACCCCCACCATCCGATCCGCTCCCTTGTGGTGAGCAGGGACAGTAGTGTCCGTCTCATCACCCCTCCCAATGGGGAGGTCCTCACCACCCTACTGCTGGACCCAGCAAAGGGGATCATAGATGCAGCATATGCAATCAATGAAGGTAAGCTATATTTGAAATCTTGATCCTCTTCACAAGTAACTGCCAAAAGATTGGATGTTCCAGTTTATAACATCTAGTTTTTCCCCTTCATTTTAGATTTATAATACAATGTACAGCTATACATTTTGTTAATCTTATTATGACTTTTGTACTGTTTAATTACTAATTTTTACTACAACCATAGTGTTACTGTGATAGTTCATGTTTTCAGAAATGTTTATGACTTGTATTTGATCAGGGCATGTACATGTAGTGGTTAATATGTTTGTACATAATGTATTGCATCCTTCCATTTCTGAGAAGGAATTAAACAGAGAAATTGTTGTCATTCTGTCAGAACATGGAGATGTTGTTTTCGAGTACTGTACAAAAATCAGTCCCTTTGGAATTTAGATGAAATATGTTGTCTTTTTCAGAGAAATTATTTGTCGTTCTGAACAATGGAGATATCTTAAAGTGCTGTACAAAAATCAATCCTGTCAGAATTGAGAAAACCTGGAAAATTCAGAACCCTAGGGGTCAGTATCACTTCAGTTATCTTACAATTCTCCCATTAAGATTACACATGCAAGTTTTAAAGATAGAGATTTTGACTCAGTGTTAATTTGATATAATATGTAACTATACATTTAATACAATAATAGTTTTTTCCCAATCTGCTAGGTATTTATTTTAGAATAATTTATTTTAGAATAATTATTAATCAATATCTAGATTTATCATAGGTTCAACATTTGATCAGGTCACATACAGTCAAACCTCGTCATCTCGAACTCAATGGGACCGAGAAAAAACTTTGAGATATCCGAGAATTCAAGATATCCAGGGTAAAAACTTAAAGATAAAAGGGTTGCGACTTCCAAATCACTTCGACATATCCATGGTATTTGAGATATCAGTGTTCGAGATAACAAAGTTCAACTGTATATGAAAGAAAACTGCAGTTTGTGCATACTGTTCTCATGCATTATTCTTCCTTAAGAGAGAAATTTGGAAGAAAGTTGCTATTATAGATATACTTGTGTAAATTTTAAAGCACAGTCCCCCTGTTTGATTCTGATCACCACAACTAATTGAGTAGAACACAATTAGTGAAGGTCTTGTGCAAATTAATAAGTTTTTTTTTTCAACATTATTATTTCTTTTAACACTTAGTTTTTATGCATGTTTCATAATTTCAGATTCACTCTTGTATTTTGCATGCCACAGTTTATATTAATGTTTGTTTTCACCTAAACCTACCCTGATTGTGGTGAATGCAGCCTAGTTAGATTTGAAGTCTATAAAAAAAAAACTTATTTTTCCCATTTAAGTACACATTTTTGGAAAAAAGGTATCTAGAATGGATTTTTTTTTAATGTTTAAATGGGGAAAATAAGTATTTCTGTTTTTTGATATATTTGTATCTCAGGACACAGTCACTTGTCTATGAAGTGTCTATTCAGAAACCTGAAGTTAAAGATTAACCAATATTTGATTAAAATATATAACAAGCTAACATAACCCTTTTTAATAGCAGATAACCCAACCCCAGCTAACATGCCTCTACACAGTCACACTCCAGCATAAACCTCGATTCACTTCTAACCCAGAATGATTTACTTATTCATTTATAGCATGCAATGCTATATTTTTTTCAGTTTTTAGAATGAGTTCACACATAACATAGGATAGTTATTTTACCTAAAATCTAAAATTTTTACATATATGATGGGCATAGAAGGTTTTGCATTGAATTTTGTTATGTACAATTCATAAACACCAACCAACATTTGTGTAAAAAAGAAATTCTAAAAAAATCAAAATTTGAACACTTTTTAATTGGTAAAATATCAAAGGATGTGGGAAGATAAGGACCTTATTTGGTTCTTCAATTTACCTATGGATCCAGTTAAGTTTAGATGCATATTTAAATTTTAAAACTATATCTTATAATAAGCATTGATTTTCATAAAATTCACATGCATATTTATAATTCCTTGTGAAGGTTACCTGGGTTTGACCCATTGCAATCTTCAACACATTTTTATCAACTTTAGGATGCCCTGGGAAATGTAGAGTACTTAGATACTTACCTTATGAAGATTTTTACACTGCATAGTTGTATCTTATTTATAATAGTGTACATACCTGTATAGCTACATGTATTTAGGCAATACAAATATATGTAGATGCATTTGAGGCTTAGAAGGCACCATTGATGCAACTTCAATCTTTAAAAAAATGAGTTTAAAAAAAAGTTTCTGTGATCATTGCATAAGCAAAAAATTATGTGTGTAAATAACATGTTCAACAAATTAACACGTGTTCATTAAAAATATCTATATTTGTGTAGAAATAAAAGGAAACATAAGACATTAATTTTATATAAAAATTGTAAACAAGAACTTATCATTAATAACACTTCATAATTTCAATATCAATTATTTTAGAGATAATTTCACATGCCAGCCAATCATTTTCTCTTGTGGATAACCCATACCGAAATAAGTTATAACTAAGTTATAACTTTTCTGTAACTTTTTTGTACCTCAAGAAAAAGTTACATTTTAGTTATAACTTTTCTGTACCTAAAATGGACTTAGCCATTTTTAGATGTAACTAAAATATAACTTTTCTGGACTTTGTCATTTTACTGTATAACTTTTTTGTACCTTTTTGAACTTAGCCATTTTCTGGTGTAACTAAAAGATAACTTTTCTGGACTTTGTCATTTTACTGTATAACTTTTTTGTACCTTTTTGGACTTAGCCATTTTCAGATGTAACTAAAACATAACTTTTCAGGACTTTGTCATTTTTCTGTGTAACTTTTTTGTACCTAATTTGGACTTAGTCATTTTGCAGAATGGCTACTTAGTTAAACTGAATATTTTTTTTTTTTTTTTTTTTTTTTTTACCATACACCTAAATTAAATTTTTTTTATATAACTGTTGAAATTTAATCATATAAAATAATAAATAAGCATAATTATATTAGTATAGTAATACAGTTTTACATACCTGTAATATCTACAGAGGATTATATGAATAAAAAGGTGGTGATGATTAAGGGCTACATAAAGGTTACCACTGTTTATATGCAGAATTTTCTTTATCTAAAAATTATTCATATAATGAATTGCATTATATACTGCTATTACTTACGCAGACATTTATTTTTCTGTTTTGTTGTGAGTTGAGATTTTTTTTTTTTAAAGAAAAAGGGGGGCTTCTTAGACATCTTTACTACCAATGTTTTACTCATCCATTGCAGTCCACAGCCACATCCACTGTTAAGTTCAACAGAAGAGATGTGAAGTTGAGACTTGTAGTAAATTACATCTGAAGTTGGGAATAAATCTCTCTCTAAATCTCTCTCTCATTAATAAATATTGTTGTTTAATTAATATTTGTCTTGTAAGTACTAGTTTCATCTAAAGTTGGGAATAATCTCTCTCTCTCTCTCTTTCTCTCTCAGAAAATACGTATTATATAGATTTCATGTTTTGTAAATTATATGCATGTACATCTTAAGGTGGAATAATTTCCCTAATTCTGGAGAAATATAAATGTTCAAGAGATATAAACAGTGGTCAAATGTTATAATCTCATGAAGTCATTTAATATTTTGCACAGATTTTTCTTCCTGTGCAAAACAGTGTTAATTTCCCCATTGTTTTCTCGTGACACAGGTGTTTGTACTAGATGACCTTTTTGGCCTACACTTCGTAAATTTCAGCTTGTGTATTACGCAATGGTACAATTTTACAAGGGTTGTTTGAAATCTAAAGTAAATCAATCGTAATATGGGTGGCTAGAAAGATAAACAACAACATACAGTGTGTGTATGTTCATTTATTAACAGATATTACGATGTTGGGAATAAAGACTGCCAGTTATATTAAGATTTAAGCAGAAGACTAGGACATGTGGATTTTATTATTTGCCTGATTAAATAACCCAGTTTTACTAGTTATTTTCATAAATAAATAAAATATTAAATTCAAAATGGCGGCAACGACACAAATATGGCGGCCCCGACGTCCGTTTTGTCCGTTTTGTTGGAACTCTGTTTCAAAATTTTAACACCAACTGGCTTTTTAATATTTAAGATAAGTTTCAAAATACACAATTATGTTTATTTGGATTTAAAATAAATTAATTATGAATTATTTATTTATTTTCAATCACGTGACTTATTCTAAGTCTCTGATTGGTCAACAACAGAGCGCGGATTTTTTCATGGACGATTTGAATGTTGGTGTGTTGAAAGTGTTGATAGAAAAACGATGACAAAATCATTCGGTAAGGCAATATTTATGTTAATATTTTGATGTTTTTGGTAGGAAATGTTTATTACCTCTAGATGGGCATTCAAAAAAGAAGAAATATGTAGAATGAACAAAATTCTAGGCATGTGAATCTCAGATTTCTTGTTTGTTTTGATTGGTATGTCAATGACAAAGACTGAAGTGAAGAAATTGAAACATACTATTTTTTCAGCATTTAGTATAGGAACAAAAAATGTTATTCTTTGTCATATTTAATTCTTTAAATATTCCTATAGATCAGTTTAATTATTAAATGACCTATATTGTGTAATTGTTTAACAGATTCTCTGAACTGTTTTAATATTGTACATATTGTAGCCTTTAAACACCACATGATCATAACATGATATAGTGTACTGAAATGAGTAAAATAAAATTTCTAATTTTTATTTAATTTCAGCAGTATACTGGTACATTATTTCTTTCCATGAGCATCTTATGTCTGTGCCAAGCTGGAGTGAAATCCTTCAAAAATATCACATGTTTTAGGTAAGTAAATAATCAAATCTTATTTTTATTTCAAATTCGATAAATCTAAAGCTAATTCCTATAAAGCTGTCAGGTTCTATATTGTTCTTTATGTTTAAAATTTTTTTTAATGCATGTTTATGTGATGAGCCTTGAGGTTGAATTTTCTCAATTACACAACAGAACTCTAATTCTTGTTTTCCAAGTTATAGATGCATATGCCTTGAATTTGAATGAATTGATATTAAAGAGTGGTTCCAATCTGATATGCTTTGAGTGCAGGAAACACTTCAACGTTTTTTTAAAAGAAAAAATTAAAATATTTAAAGTTTGAACCTTTTTAATTTTTGCAGAATTGAAGAAAAATGAAGAGAAGGTTGAAATTGCAAGCATATTTCAAATGAAGAATCGAACGACTACCAGTGCAGGCCATTGAGGGGCGCAAACCATCTGCCGGCCGGCCAAGTCCCTCGACCAGCTCGGCCAAATACCAGTGCAGCCTGTCGAGGGGGACATACTGCTGGCCGGCCAAGTCCCATGACCACTTAAGTCTACTACCAGTACAACCTGTCAAGGGGCGCAGACCGCTGGCCGGACGGCCAAGTCCCTCGACCAGCTCGGTCGACTACTGGTGCAGCCCGTCTTTAAATAATCCAGATAAAAATCACAACTGTACATCCACAAGGATACCTGTGCAAGGACTTGGGTGGTATGCAGCTAAGAACTGTGACCGAAATCACTGCTTAGAACCTTCTTTTTTTTTGAAGTACAGCTAGGTCATGGCGCTAACATGAAAAACTAGAGAGTTAAAATCTAGGCAGTGATGCCTATTTATAAAAGTTCACAAGAGTAGAATGCAGTTTACTAGGTAATTTTACAAAAACTCTTATGACTATATGCTAAAAAAATGTATTTTAAGAAAACAACCATTCTGAGAAATTTCAATCTGTTATGATGGCTTGATGAAAAATAAGGTAGACTTGAAAACATGAATGTGCATTCATTCAATTGTATTTGACAATGAACCAAGCTCTCTTAATCATGTTTATAAAATAAAATTGTAAGTGCTTTTAATTTTTTTTAAATAATCTTTTTTGTAAAAATTTTAATAATCTTTTTGTAAAAATTTTAATGAGTAGCTTTTTTAAAGCCTATAATTGAGTAATTCCACCACAGGTTAACATGAAGTGTATAATTTTATTGTAACTTTTATTAGGTATAACTTTTATTAGGTATAACTTTTTGTAGTTATAACTTTTTTTTAGGTATAACTTTTCTGTAACTTTTTCATAACTTTTTCATAGTTATAACTTTTCTGTAACTTTTTCATAATCTTTAAAGTTATAACTTTTCATGGGTATAACTTTTTTTAGTTATAACTTTTTCATAACTTTTTATTAAGTATAACTTTTTTATAACTTTTTAAATAACTTTTTCCGGGTATAACTTTTTTGTAACTTTTTCCACCGTTTATTTGGGTATAACTAAAGTATAACTTTGTAACTTTTTTATAACTTTTTGTATAACTTTTAATAAGTATAACTTTTTGTAGTTATAACTTTTTTGTAACTTTTTGCACTTGCTGTATTTATGTTGAAATAAAAAATGAAAACTTATACAAAAGTTATAACTTTTTTGTAACTAAGTTATAACTAAATTATACCTCACTTAAAACAGGCGGTTCCAAACTCCGATAACTTAGTTATAACTTTTTTGTACCTTTTTTTAGTTACAAAAGTTATAACTAAGTTATAATTTATTTCGGTATGGGTAAGTTTAGTCTCTTAATCTACTAATAGATATTTATTGTCACCTGCATAAAATTGGCATTTCAAAAGTTATTGTCAACAAGTCTTTTTTTCACACAAACAAGGTATATATTATCCAGATAAAAAATACTGTCATTTTATTTTAAATTAATTTAAAACTAATTAATGTTATGTAAATATCATGTAATTATTTTTAATAATTTCAAACATTTACTTCTATAGACATGAAAATATTATCCTATCTCCGCTATACATGTAATATATGTTTCATCACTCCCATTCAGTAATTCTTTTTTTGCTCTCGAACATCTATTATGCCTCACATTCTGCTATGTTATATAGTTTTGTGAGTGTTTTGTGCATAAAAAATTTAGTAGAGTAAAGGGAGAAATGGATTCCATAATGTGTACCAGTAAGTTACTGGTTTTCTCCAACTCTCATTCCTTAACTTTTTCATTGTACATACATGCTTAGACACTCTGCAAGCCGCTTGTGTTATGGACCTTGAGCTGGATAAAATCTGGTAACTAACTCACAATTAGTTCTTATGAAATGACTGATGGACATTCCAAAACTAGTTTAGGCTTTCCTTAATTATCCCCCCCCCTACATGCACACACCACCACCCCAGAAAATATAGTGAAGTTATCCTTCAGATTATGAGTTGATTAATAATAAACTATGGGGGATGAACATCATTAAATGCAACATCCACTTATATTAAAGAAATAAAAAAAAATGAAGTTAAAAACTTCACTGGGATATGAAATAGGTTGGTCATGTGATCCTGGTTGCTGTCTTTCATATTTTGGTAATCAATATATCGGGCTTCAAACATTATACTGACCTTTGGTTTTCTGATCATGGCTCTTCAGAGGCTTGTAACTATCTTCTGGTGTATGAGTATGTCCCAGACTTCAAGGCTGATGCCTGGGCAGCATTCAAACGAGGGTTAGCAACAAACACGATAGGTGACAATAGTTCCCAGACCAGCCGGGCCAAAACCATTCTCCTGGGTGGAAGGAAAGACGGTCACATCTGTGTGTTTGATTGGGATGACGGAAAAGTTATTTTTAGCATTGATGTAAGTGTTATTAAATGTTTTCTAATACTTAAACAGTTTCAAAGAAACTATTCAAGATATTATGCACTAGCTGATACATCTTCCATTTTGAATTTTGCCAATTACTTGAATTTACCATAAAATTCATCTATTTAAAAGAGACTACATTTAAGGAATTTTTTTTTAGTTTTGTGAGTGTTAATGTATAGATCAAGGAGGCTTGTAATTTAGGCATACTTCATGAAATGGGCTAACAACATTCACATACTAAAATATATTCCTTATTTTGCTTTTTATACATTTAGAACCCCAAAAAAATGCATTCAATATTTGAATCCCTCTGCCCTATATCGTTATATTTTTGTTACCATCTCAGTAGCCTTGTGTTTCCCTTTGTATATAAATAATGTGACTGCATGCAAAAATGTCATTCAAATCAATTTTGTAGTTGGTTATAGAAATATTTACATGTAAGTACATGTACATGATAGATTTATATTTTTTTTGGCAGGCTCATGGAGTAAAGGGAGTGTTAAGCATGAAAGCTAATTCCAAACAAGATCAACTAATATCTGCTGGCAAAGGTAATATCTGCAGGCTACAGTTGTATTTCTAGAATCATCTATTGAATTATTTAAGAATGCTTCTCTTTGCTCAGTTCTAAATTAAGTATACTGCATGATGTACAAGACCCGATCACTTGATGCATGTACATAAATCTGTTCATCAGTTTTCAGTTTTGATTTAAGGAATCACTGTCTAGTTTGTTGGGTATACCAGGGCATTAACAACAGTTGGAAATGTGGAATTATTTGCGCAATTGGCTTCACCTTGCCTGTTATGCATAAATTATCCCATGTTTCTAACTGTCCTTAAAGTACCTGGCATTCCCAACAAACTAGACAGTGATTCTTTATATTTATATGTGAAATAAATATGTAAATATAAGTAAAAAATGCTGTCTAAGAGATATGAAATATATGAGGCATTCCATGTTAATTTCCATAGTTCTTGTCCACTGATGTCAAATATAATGACAACCAAATGCAAATTGACATGCATAATAGTCACTTGATCTTCCACTTGGCGAAATTTGCATTCAGATGTAATTATTGAGAAATATATACATTTTTTTTGTTTGTCAAAAATAAAAACTGTCACAAATAATAAAAATACTTATTTCTACATATGGCTGCTAGTTCACTGATGGGCATGGTTTTAAAAAATCATGCACGGGGCAGGAGAAAGAGAGAGACAATGAAAGAGAAGTAGGTTGGGCTTAGAGCATGTGAATTTATGGAATCAAGAGCATGTAAATTTAAGAAATAACTGTCAGATTTTTTGTTTTATGATGATTATCAAGCAATTGCATTGTATGATAATTTTATGCAAAAACGCCAAAGGCTTTTATGCAAATTATCACACAAGCCAATTGCTTGATCACACCATAAAACCAAAAAATTAGACAGTGATTCCTTAAATCAACACACTTAACTTTCAAAGAGTTATCACAGAGAAAACACTTGGAAATGTAAATATGTATGGCTAGCTGCTATTAATTAAGAAAAATAACATTATATTATTGCAAATTGCTTCTCCCTCTGTAGAGTATGTTTTGATCAAGACCATTGGTTTGAACACTGATGTTCAAGATAGAACCTAGAACAAACAAGTACATGTATAGACCTAAATGTATCATAAGAACTTTTTCTTTTAGTTATTTTTAAAAGTAAGATCCATTGTTGACAAAATATGTCAATATCAAAATCTCCTAACCAATAGAAATAAGATTGATTGCAATATGTATAGACATTTTGATTGTAAATGTATAAAGTACATGTATTATGTATGTCAAGGGAAGTTTGAAGGACAAAACTTTTAGATAATTAATTTATTTTTCTTAAGAAGTGCATGTAATCTACAGTAAAATTATTAAATTGTTTTTATGAAAATTATCCATAATTTCATGCTCATGAAAAAGATTAGAGATGTTATTGGAGAGGAAACATATTTCTGATTCTTTTTTTTATCTGTACCGAAAATTTGGTTTTAAACTAAAAATGGCTTTTCAGCTTATGTATGAGGCAAATAGGAAAATGTTAAGTTACACTGCCATTCGTAAATGCCATAATAAAGAGAATCCAGTTGTTTTTTAATGAAATTCGTTTGGAAGATGGACACTTCACTCAAGCTTTTGTCTTAAAAAATCCAACTTTAAAGACCATTAAATATGGATCAGTAAATCAACACTGTTTACATAACTTTCTCTTCTGAACTACTGGGCTAGTATAAGCATTGCTAAAAGTGTCTTTATGAGTTAAGGAGATTTGATTTTGTTGTCACCTGCTTTCACTAAAATTGGGGGATATTAATTTGGGTCTATCTGTCCATCTGTCTGTCAGTGTGTAACACTTTCGTTTCCAGACAATATCTCAAAAAGTCTTTGAGCTTTTGGAATGAAATTTGATATCACAACTCGATCCCTATGGACTAAAGAAGACCCCTGTTGATTTTGAAGTCAAAAGTTCAGAGCTCAAGGTCATAAATTCATACATTTTGTCTATGTTTAGCACCTTCATTTCTGGGCAATATCTTAATAAACCTTTAATATCTTAATAAACCTTTGAGCTTTTGGAATGAAATTTTATATCACAACTCCTTATAGTCTATAGAAGACCCCTATTGATATTGAGGTCAAAAGTTTAAAACTCAAGGTCAGAAAATCAATTACATTGCGAATAACATTTTCCAGATGATAACTTAAGTTTCCTTTGAAATTTTTCCAATAAAATTTAATATTACAGTTTCCTATGGCCTAAAAAAGACCCCTATTTATTTTGAGGTCCAAAGGTCAAGATCATAAATTCATACATTCTGTCAGTGTGTAATACTTTAAAATATCTTAAAAAGCCTTTGAAAAGCTTTTGCAGTGAAATTTTATACCACTATACTACTTATGACCTTAAGAAGACTCCTTTTGGTTATGAGGTCAAAAGGTCAAGGTCAGAAGATCATACATTGCAAATAAGTTTTCAGACGATAACTGTAGTTTCTTTGAGCTTGTTCAAATAAAGGCTCATTTTAGCTTGGAATCATGGTAATTTAGAGAGACCAAAAAAAAAAAAAGTGAAGTGGCATAATTATATTCTCTCTGGAAACATATGAGGTCTGATTTTTACGAAAAAAAATGTAAGAGAAATTTTGTTAACGTTCCACATACATGTATATTTCAGTGTCATTTAATGTATTGACACATCCTAAAGCAGATGCAGGTCTCTTTGATTTATGGAACCTTTTTAGCTCACCTGAGCAAAAGGCTCAAGTGAGCTTTTCTGATCAAATTTGTCCGTTGTCTGTCGTCGTTGTCGTTGTTGTTGTAAACTTTTCACATTTTCATCTTCTTCTCAAGAACCACTGGGCCAAATTCAACCAAACTTGCCACAAAGCATCCTTGGGTAAAGGGGATTCAAGTTTGTTCAAGTGAAGGGCCATGCCCTCTTTCAAGGGGATCATTTAAAAATCTTCTTCTCAAGAACCACTGGGCCAGGAAAGATGAAACCTATGTGGAAACATCCTCAGGTAATGTAGATTCAAGTTTGTTCAAATCATGACCCCAGGGGGTAGGGTGGGGCCACAATGGGGGATCCAAGTTTTACATAGAAATAAATAGGAAAATATCTTTAAAAATCTTCTTCTTAAAAACAGTAAAGCCAAGATCGGTCATATTTATATGGAAGCATCCTCAGGTAGTGTAGATTCAAGTTTGTTCAAATCATGACCCCCGGGGTTGGGTGGGGCCACAATGGGGGATCAAAGTTTTACATAGAAATATATAGGAAAATATCTTTAAAAATCTTCTTCTTAAGATTAGCAAAGCCATGATTGGTCATATTTATATGGAAGCATCCTCAGGTAGTGTAGATTCAAGTTTGTTCAAATCAGGACCCCCGGGGGTAGGGTGGGGCCATAATGGGGGATCAAAGTTTTACATAGAAATATATAGGAAAATATCTTTAAATATCTTCTTCTTAAGAACAGCAATGCCATGATTAGTCATATTTTTATGGAAGCATCCTCAGGTAGTGAAGATTCAAGTTTGTTCAAATCATGATCCCCGGGGGTAGGGTGGGGCCACAATGGGGGATCCAAGTTTTACATAGAAATATATAGGAAAATATATCTAAAATCTTCTTTTTAAAAACAGTAAAGCCATGATTGGTCATATTTATATTGAAGCATCCTCAGGTAGTGAAGATTCAAATTTGTTCAAATCATGACCCCCGGGGGTAGGGTGGGGCCACAATGAGGGATCAAAGTTTTACATAGAAATATATACGAAAATATCTCTAAAATCTTCTTCTTAAGAACAGTAAAGCCATGATTGGTCATATTTATATGGAAGCATCCTCAGATAGTGAAGATTCAAGTTTGTTCAAATCATTACCCCGGGGATAGGTTGGGGCCACAATGGGTGATCAAAGTTTACAGAGGAATATATAGGAAAAAGTCTTTTTCTCAAGAACAGAAAAGCCATGATTAGTCAAATTGATATGGAGGCATCTTTGGGTAGTGTAGAATGAAATTTGTTCAAATGAGGGCCCCAGGGGTAGGGTGGGGCCACAATGGGGGATCAAATTTTTACAAATGAATATATGGGAAAAAAATCTGATGCTCAAGAACAACAAAACCATTTGTTATATTGATATGAAAGCATCATCAGGTAGTTTAAAATTCAACACCCCCCTCCCTGTAAACTTTTCAATACTGTATTGATTTTTGCTTTTTTTCCTAGCCAATGTGCTCAGGTGAGCGATATGGCCCATGGGCCTCTTGTTTGAGGATTTGGCCACAATAAAATCAGAAGTTTTATATAACACCAATAAGCATATGAAGCAATGCTTTCAATGCAATCTACATTGTGTTTTTCCATGCAGATAACATTATAAAGGTATGGCGTCTGTACCCTTTCGCTGAGGAAGCACTGGCTCCCTTGATGTCGTTTTATTGCGCTCACACCCCTGTTCACATGACCATGTTGAAGACAAATCTGTGTGTAGCATTCCAGGATCATGCCACAGCTACATATAATATTGTCATTTACAATCTCAAGGACAGAAGTAAGTGTTTTGTTTTTATTGGTAATATATTATGGCCTAATTAGCAAAAGGTTAGATGATACCTAGAGTACCTAGACCAAGGACATTTGATTGACCCTCAGTACCTATAGTACATTGATTATTGTATTGATTACAATGTTTCATATGAAAGTTAAACATCCTGTATGTTAATTTATTAAAAAAAAAATTAATATTAGAAAAAGGTACAATAGAATGTTTGTTAATCAAAAATAAGTGCCAACTTTGTAAAATGTTTTCCCCAATTTGAAGAAGGTTTATAAAGGTCCTTTTTTCCACAAGCTTAAAAAAGAGCAAGGGAGATAATTTGAAACCTGTCCATGGTGGTGTAATTTTGGGAATATTTAAATAATGAATGATGTCAGATACACATGTTTTAGCTATGTTTTCAGTTCCCACTTTCTATGGTAGGTTCAAAGTGGGGAGATCTTGTACCAGCTCTTGGTAATCTGAGTTCATATTTATTATTCTCTTTTTATTTAACAGACATCAAAGTCATTTATGCCATTTTAAAGCATAATGATTCATTTTTTTCATAAATATATTTTATAAGCAAATGAAAATCATGATGAATTACAAAGGCATTTATTCAAAGTTCCCTTGTTTAATTTTACATATAACAAGTTCTCTTAAAGGAATCTATAAAATTAAAATTGAAAAAAAAAGAAACAAAATAAAAAAAAGAGAAATGGATAATTTATGTTTATGATTCTGCTGAACATTTTTATACCCCCCTCCCCCCCCCCCCTTTCCAAAATAAAAAAAAATGCATGGTAATAAAACCATTAGACATTTTGGTATATGGTATCAATGACTGAGATGTCTGTTTTGGGTCACTTTAAGGTTTCACATTTGGAGGTCCTTTGTACAAAATCTATTATCTTTCTACTATTTTATTGCCATGTTGCTTTGAAAACCAGGTTTTCCTTTTTTTTAGTGTTGCAAACATGGAAAACATTTATGATGACTTTATTTTTCTAAATGTATGTACATATATCTAGAAAACAGGAAAACCCAGTTTTTAAAGATGTATGTGATGAGAAATATTATTATTATTATTATCTGTTATGGGTATGTGGATGTTTTTGTTGGGTTCAAATGTAAGCTAGGGAACTTAAGTTCAGCCATATCAGCATATAGACTTGTGTGCAAATCCAAAACGGTTGTAAAGACGTGCATGTCTTCAACTAGGGAACTTAAGCCATATCAGCATATAGACTTGTGTGCAAATCCAAAACGGTTGTAGAGACGTGCATGTCTTCAACAGCAATTAAGACTGTCATGCTTAAATACTTTCAATATTTTAAACCAGTCTAAATGAATGTCAAGTTTACTTTTAATTTACATTACTTTTTTGCTAATATATTTATTTTGATCCAACTGTTCAATAAATATTGCAAAGCATATCATATGTAATTGTAAGAACAGAAGTCATTTTCAAGATATTGTGTGTGTTTTATATGAGGAATTTGGTCAAGTTCTCTTAAAAACATCTTAATGCACCTTTTCATGGCTTTCTACACCAATGCTTTTAGTGTTTGGGGGAGGAATGGACAGCAAAAAAAGTTTAGAAATTCATTCCAGTAAGTGGAGAGGCTGAGATAACAAGCACTTTTAAATAATGCACACAGTTCACTCCCTTTGATCCAGCACATCGGTGTTCATGTTCTGTTCATAAAATATAATGTTAGAGAACTTTCATGTTGTGTTGACATAAAATGTAATGGTAGGAGAATTTAAGGATACATCAGGTGGAAAAAAGAGTGTAATATTATAGAAAATGATTTTAAATGTCTTCTTAAAGAATTTAACAGAAGGAGATGACATTTAATTGTTAAACTAATTTGATTATATCTGATTTTTACAATAAATTTCTTTTACAATAATTTATGAACAGAAAGATAACATAAGTTACCTTTGTTGCAAATGAATCAAAATACTAAGCTTTATTCATAATATGGGTATATCTGAATTAAACCTTGGATTTTGTCACAGTTGTGTTTTTCTTTGAATGTCACGAATGTTTAATTTGTATGCTCTTTTATTGCTACTTTATAAATATTTTGAATCCTTGTGTAAGATGATGGGATTTGCATAACATTGACCAGGTTACCCACCCAATTTAACTGTCTGTACCCTTTAACTATTTACAGTTTTTAGCATGCCTAAAGGAGAAACAGGTGATAGAAAGCACACAGCATTTCATACCACAGATATTATATATACAGTCTTGATATCATTCATTTAGATCTTTTTTTTCTTTAGTTGGAACAGTTTTCTGAAGCATCCTTTACTATAATATTAAACATGAAATATTAACTGGGGAGGTTTTATTGGTTCTCGAAGTGACTTACAGAAACTATTTTATCTCTCAATTCCTAAGCTTCCATTTTGCTTTACATTTTCTTTGTAATAATCATGGAGTTGGTGAATTTTAGTGTTTTCTTTCATTTTATTTCAAATTTTCTAAATCTTGATTTAAGAAATGAAGTGTTTTGGTAATTTTTTTCATCTGTTTTTTAAATGTTTTTATTCAGATTTAGATTTTTGTAGGTATTAACTTTGCCCTGACAATTTGTTTATACTTATGTACAAGATTCACTAGTCAGATATTATTCATGATAGATTTTAGGTGCATGAATCAATTACAGTTATTTAATTACATAGTATACTGAAAACATTGACATTGTACGAGAATTGGTAGCCAGCATGTATATATTTATAGTCATCAAAAAGCTGCATGTACATGTATTTGTTCATGTATATACATGTATATACATGTATACACGTATTATACTTGAGAAATATTTTTGGGTACCTCTTCAAGCAATACTTTGCAGGATAATTATTCAAAGATTTGAATAAATCTGCACCATAAATTAGATTGATTTACCCAGTTTACATTTTTGTAAAATTGAATAATTGTCTGTAGAAGAGCTAAAGGAAGATGATCAGGAATGTGAGTTGTCTCCCTTGATGGGAACTTTTTTGGCAAATAACACTAAAATCTAGCAATGGCAGTTTTTTTTTGTGGAAAAGATGTTTTAATGCTTTATAATCTGTTTGTAAGCCAGTGATTAAAGTTGTTGAATGTGATATCATAATTTACTGGTATTTTTATAATTAACAAAATAAGATGTATATGCATGCAATATTAATGCATGAGTTGTGAAACTTGAAGAGGTTTAAATTCAGCTTGATTATAATTAATAATAATTATAGTGAACATAAATTGTGTGTAATATTTGTGAAGTCCTTATGTCTTTAAAAAAAAAAAACTTGAAATATATAATTTATTTATTACTGCTTATAATGCATGAAAAGTTTAAGAAATCATTTACCTAGATTTAACTCTATCAAAACCCCTTCCGATTTTTATTTCCTGATTTTATTTTGTTTGTTTTTTCCCCAGAAAATAACTGCACAATTAAAAAAAATGTTTCAATTTGAAATGAGGAGATTATGAAAGTTATGATTCTAGATAGTTTTTATAACTTCGTGAAAGGTAAGGTGCATGTACTTGGTGGAATCAAGATTAATACCAATAATTTCTACCTGATACTTCTAATTAATACTCAGTTGTGTCCTGGAATCAAGTTACTAATCAACCTGCTAACTTTAATCATTTTTTCCATTTTCAGAAATATTTCATGTAAATAAATTATTCCCTTTCTCAGAAATCTTTTTCCAATAGAACCATTCATAATTTTTTATTATCTCAGTAAATTAAAAAAAAAATCATTTGATTTCCACATGTTTGAATCAAACAATTGTAATTGTTAAAAATTTTAGTGATTTTTTTTTTTTATGAATCAGAATTTTGTCAAATTTTAAGTGATACATGTAATAGTTTCATTATAATGATAATACAATTAGGTAGATTTCCTGACATACTTAGTATGCTATTTTTAGACCGCTATGACCACCAGCCAGATGATGACCACACAGACACAATCACAGGACTGACCAGCTGCCAGAGAATGAAGCTGTACGCCTCGTCCAGTCTGGACGGCACAATCCGAATCTGGGACGAAACCAATAACCTGATCAGGTAAATAAATACCCGACTCACTCGCCAAAAATCAGCTCAAAATTGTCAGGCATGTAGGAAAAGGTCTGAAAAGCCAAGTGAAACAGACTGACTGACAGATAAACAGACAAACAGACAGGATGGGCAGAAAGGAAATCTTCAGTCCCCCCCCCCCCCCCCCAGTTCACTTAGAAACTTGACTTCCCTGACTTTATCCCTGTTGATTCCATGGGTATCGAGCATAGGGCCGCATAAAACACCTCGCCAATGGACTCTATTCTGGACTGCTTTCTTGAACTAGATCCAAGTAAATCCTGTCTCTCTTGTTCCTGCTTCTATAGATCTTCTCCCGGTTTGCCTGGGTCTCCCAACACTCCCTTTTCGGATTCCATTCAAGAGCCTGCTTGGTTAAGTTGTGTGGTGATTTGCATGTTTGGATAGATAGGAAGCTAATAAATCTTATATGGATATATTCACGTCTTTTTCTAAAGGAAAATTTGTCATTTGAATTGTTGAAGGTAAAAAAAAAAGGATATGAAACAATAGAGTCCTTTCTTACAGACTGCTGAAGTTGAAGACCATGCCATACAGTGTGGGATTTTGTAGTGAACGGGGGGATCTTCTAGTCGGGATTAGTCATCATCTGTACAGAATCCCATATACTGCATGTAAGTTTTTAATAAAAATAATTGTCAGATCTAATTAGAAGTCGTTTATATTTGGCATGTCAGAAGTACACAAAAATATTTGCATTTTCTGTGTTTTTCTACTACACCAACTAAGAAATCAATATGAATGCCATTTTCATGCATGTGTACTTATGCGTAGAAATATAAATGGAGAAAGTGATGTGACAATGAGGCTACAGAGACGTAAATGAAAATATTACTATATAGGACAGTGAGTCTCGAAATTCAAACATTAAAAGTATTTTTGCTACTTTTTTTTTTTTTTACGTTTTACAGATAAGGATTTTTTTTTAGTTTTAAGTGAATTATTGGTGTGTATATCACACAGACTTGCATGTAAGCATATTTTTCATGAAGTGCTAGCGCACTTCATGAAATATGCCTATGTGACAATTAAGTCTGTGTGATTTCGAACGAATATCTCACACAAAGCAGAAAAACATTCCTTATTTAATGCACATGTTGAGTTAATTTATTAAGCATGCATGCAGTCTAAAAACTGCTTATAGCTAACATTTTCTTTGAGGAAAGTCTAAGTGACCTTTAAATTTTATTGAGTAGGTGTTGATATTATTTGTGCATTATAAAATTTTTTGGTCAAATGCTAGTGGAGGATATAACAAAACAGTTTAAATTGACTGAGATTCAGGCAAATCTTATTTGTTGGATCCTCATGCAAACAAAAGTTGCATATTAAGTCTTTAATTAATTTGGATTTGGGCATCATTCTTTTGTTTAGGTTAAAAAAAAACCATAAGCTGCTTTCTTACTCTCTCAATAACTATAATATTACAATACTGGTATTTAATATGATATCACAAACATGCACAAAAAGTATTTAAGACTTGGAGAAAATATTTGTGGAATTGAAGTACAGTAAAACACACATATAACAAAGTCCCAGGGATGGACGATTTTGGTTCATTATAAACGTATTTTGTTAAACCTGCTTAGTTTATAATATATTTTAGAGCCAGGGGAATGAAAATAACTTCGCAGTAAGCATCAATGCATTATAAGCGTGTTCGCTATAAATGGTTTTACTGTACATGCATGTATATTTACACTGTTTAGTATATATATACTGTGGAATCGTATCATTGTTCTTGGGGGTCAATGTTCGTGGGTAACCGAGATTTTACTGGTTCATGGGGACTAAATCTCATGGGTAAATTGTATGTTTTATTAAGATAGCTAACTCTTCAGTGTTCAATGCATGTGTGTTTCAATGTACATGTGGATGTAAATTCATGCATGTGTAAGGATTTCCTACGAAACTGATCCCCCATGAACAATGATGATTCCACAATATGCTATGGCCATGACTGATATGAAGTATAGATACTAGTAGTCTTTAAGTATTTGAAATGATTATTTCATCTTTTTAACAAATTGACATCAGAATTGTTTTATATAGATTTGCCCAAGTCATACATATTTAAGATGGTGTCCATGAGATTTGCTGACCCTAAGCCTGAGGCACCGTTTACTCTAGATGAAGACCAAGTCAACAAACTTTCAAAGAGGGAATATACACGCCTGAAAAAGTCACATTCCTCCTTCAAGTAAATGGTTTTAATGTTGGAATTTTTCCTTGGATGAACTTATATTGAACACCCCCCCCCCCCCCCAGTTACTGAAGCATTTTAGTTTTTCCCCCAGTCCTTTGAAAGAAGCCCACACAAAAAGGCTCACACAGTCTCTCTTTTTTTTTAATTTGAGCTCATTTAGGAAAGAAGAAGTGATATCTCTTGCAAGATGCAAAACTATTTTAGGAATACTAACAAATAAATATCAGGAAAAAAACTTACTGTAGAATAATCATTGTTTGTGGAGGCCGGACCAATGTTTGGTTTCATTGGTCACCCTTACCCATAAATTCACATCCCTATAAGCCATATAACTTTGTCAAAGTATCCCACTGAGAATCTTCTGTATATACAAGTTACCCAGAAAATTATGTCTCCCATGAACCAATTAATTTTGATTTTCTGCAAGCATTGACCCCATAGACAAATTGAAAATGATTCCAGATGACAGATGACAGATATTAAAAAAGAGGTGTCATGTAAGTTAACATCAACATTCTTACCATAATATTTTTTTTTAATCTAAGATACAATCAGTTTGAGGACATTCTTACAAAAGAGGAGGAGGAGGAAGTGAGGAGGGAGCAGAGGATTAAGGAGGAGGCCTTCTCCAAACTGAGGGCCAGGGAGGAGGAGCTAGAGAGGATCAAGGACAGCCTCATCAAGGCAGAGAGGACCAAGGCCATGGAGAAGAAAAAGAAGGAAAAGAAAGATGTTCACATCAGTAGTGAAGCCTTCATCAATTACTTCAAGATGTACTATAGCAAAGAAAGGCCACAGGTGGGCTGTGTTTTAATGTTGTTCATGTCTCACTCAGAAGATTGTGTGAAAAAAAAATCACTGTAAGATTTATAGGAGTGGACAGTATTCCTCCCCATCTCTCTCTCACACCCCTTCTGACAACAAATGTGGTCTGGATCTGTTACTGTAACTCTGGTAAAATTTTCAAACACATTATATATAGCATTTATTTGGAAGGCATGTATTGTCGTGAAGTACTTGAGAATGTCTTGAAGTCTTAAAAGTGCATAAAATTAACCTTTTCAAAGCAACAATATATTAATTTATGATGCCATACTCCCCCAAAAATTAGACAGAATTTTGAAAATCAAGTTTTCCTTATCAGCAAAGTGCTGATTATGAATGGAGGAGGATAGAACGATTCAGGTTTTGCACTTGGTTGTAAATACAACTGTTTTTCATCAAAAGTTTTAAAACAATTTGAAAGTACATGCAGTTACTCTCTCTTGGTGCAGCTTCCACCTGAAAATCCCTATGCTTTGGAGGACTTTTTGAGAAGAGGTGAATTTGAAGAAGGTAAATTTAGCTTTAAAGGACTACAAGGGATAATGTCATAATATGTCCCATAAAAAGTTAAATTTTCAAAATTCTCAAAATTGTCACTCTTAATATATAGAAGAATTGACAATTTACAAAAAATATGACAAAATTGCTCCCAGTAAACTCCCGGGGTGCCTAGTAAAAATGTTTTTACTATGAAATTAAGTTTTATTGTGTTTAGCTTTAATGAAAAAAATTTGAAACAATTTTGCTTTGCAGAGGAGTACCCATGGATACCAGAAAAGGAACCAACAGGGTTTTTCCCCCCTATCAACAAAGCCTCAAGGCCTGCCACTGCTGCAGAGGAACCCCTCATGCCTGCATACCAGAGCGCCACATCAAGTGGTTACGTGCCAAACTCGGTTTTGGTCAAAATTCTATGGCCTCCTCCTCCTCCGAAGCCAGAAAAATCTCAAGATTCCTGGCGTCCACCATCTTTGTCTCAAGGTCAAATGGATGAAATAGAAAAAGAAAAGGTATTACTATATTTATTTTTTGTGTATATTAATTGATAAATGTATTTCAGTTATATCAAATTGACTGAAAGCTTTAATTTATTCCCAGTGAGTGAAATTGTGTAGTATATTCCCTACAAGAGTGGAAATTTAGCTCCCTTGATGACTTTGGTTTATTCCCTTAGATAGTAGTTTGTATGTACCAGTATTTTAAGTAAACTTTAGACAAGTTTTACTGATGTCCCCTTCCACTTCCCACCTTTATTTCAAAACTTAGAAATCCCATATTATAAAAATATTTTTTTTTTATATCAAGTACAGGTACAGGATCTGGTGTCAGGCATTTACTTTGACGTTCATTCTCAAAATATTTTATTAAAATTAGCCCACAATTTTTTGGCATTTCTGCATTACCTACATAAGCAAAAGCAAAGATATTCACTAGGTATAAATGCCACTTACGCCACTTGATGAAAACACAAGGTAATCCATGAAATTCAAAATTTCATCTATTCCATTGTATTGGTGTTCAACTTTATTGTTTATAAATGTAAGTCTTAGCTGATTTTCTTGACCTCCATTGTTACTTTTATAAACAGCATAGATGGAGCCGGTTATTGGGTATACAGGTACGCTTCAACCTTAATTGTTATTTTTCTTTCCTTATACTCTTGCCTATTCAAATTACAGTAGTTAAGAAATATACTGTATTCATTGAAATGTTTGCCCATTTATCCATCTCTGTCCTTAAACTAATGATACGAATTAATTTATGTCTAAATATTTCAAAAGTATTTAGTAAAACTGATTTATGCAAAAGTTTTTTTTTATTTAAGGGCAGAATTGGAAAAGGGGCATAACTTTCAGAAAACAAACTTCCACTTAAAATATCCTTCTTTTTGCACTTGGAAAATGGTCCTGTTACAAGTCTCTTAATGAATAATGAATTTGGAGAAATACAAGTTTCTTTTACTAACTTCTGTTTATACATATATTCCTATTGTCATATGACACAGAGAATTGATCAAATTTTAAACATGTATTCCCATTCTAATATTGTTTCATCTTTTTTTTGTGTTTGACCCCTATTTATTATGATAACAAAGGTGGATGTTTGTGTATAAAGCATAGAAAAAAAATAGTATTTTTCAGTTAGGGTAGTCCACATTGAAATAAATTTTGCATCATATCAGGCATATCACATCCATATGATAGCAGCTCTTTTTTGTGAAGTATGTAAGTTAATGATTTCTAGAATATATTTCTGAAATAATGAGAATTAAATCAGAGGAGTCCAGTTTCCCGAGTAATTGTTCAATGAAATAATATTTTTCACATTTGTATTTCTTTTATATCTTTAAACTAACTAATGTACATTGTACATGTATATATATATTCACTATTTTTTTCCTCATTTTAAATATTTATCATTGCTACATGTAGATAGATATATTTAGATAGAATTTTGTTTATTTTAATTTAAAAGAGACAAGCAAGAACTACAAGACTGCTTGAAGAAACATCAGCTGCTAAATTTTTTTTGTACATGCAGATGTAGTTGATTGATTAAGCAATATCTGATATCAATACCCAGAGTTTCTGGAACTCATTGATATCCATTGTAGCCAAGCCATAGTTTTCTCTAGATAATGATTTAAATTTTAAATAATATCTGATATCTGACTTTTAAAAATTACCATCAGCCATTACATGTATATGTACATGAATTACTTCATCCAGATTTAGAACATGTTTTTAATAGAATTCAGAATACCTTTCAAAGAAATTTTAATTTTGATAAGAACTCCATGTGAAATTTTAAAATTTATTCATTTTGAAATGACTATTTAGGAATATGGAACCAACGGAGTATGAATTTCATATGACCTATTTCATGTATCTTGGTAACATTACACTAATTCACATAAACCAATTTAAAAAGATTTTTAAGTACATGTACATGTGCAGTTACAAGTTTTCTGATGTAAAAAGCTGAAGATTAATTAGAGCTTGTCTTTTAATGAAAAAAAAGGAGCCAGTTGAAGAAGAAAAAGAGTTGACAGTTGATGATCTGGTCCCAGAGGAGGTAGTGGATCAGGACCGAACACTTATCATTGATGACTGGGAAGATGAAAAATCTGCTCCGCAGAGTCCAGTGCCTTCTAGTGGTACCAGGACCCCTGTTTATACCCCACCCAGGAAGGAGGTCACATTTAGCAGACAGCCAACAGTCCATGTGATAGAGACCCCTCCCAAAACTCCCACCCCTCCAGCCTCTTCCAGACAAAGTTCACTGATGTCCAAGTTCAACGAAATGCTGACCAAGAAAGAAGAAGAAAAGGTATATGGCATGATGTTTCAAGTTGCTATCATTTTCTGCATTTTGATGTAGGGTCCATTCATGTGAAATACAGTAAATAAAATCATGATTCACATTAATAATGGTTTTCATTAACCAGATATTTCCCATGAACAACTTAAAGCTTGCAGCACAGCATTATATTCATGATACAATCTTTTTGTATTTTAACTCTTTTTTTTAAAACTAATTTTCAGGAGGATGATGAATCCACAGTGACCATGACACCCCGATCGCCAGTAGAAACAGAGCCTTCAGGCACTGCATTCAAATCACCAATGAAATCTACACTTTCCGATAAACCTCCTAGTGAACCTAAACCCCCCTCAGCCCCTCCACCTAGGAGGGAAGTTAAACCCCTGAAACCTCTTGTAAAATACACCAAACCAGCACCCCCTTCAGAACCCTTGCCACCAAAGCCCAGACCTGTGGCACCACCTCAGAGAGAACCGACACCACCCCGTCCAGAGACACCACTTCCTGGTTTTGTTACACAGTTCAAGGGTGCGGAGTGGTTTGAAAAATTCTTTCCAGATGCTGGCGAAACGGTAAGATTTCTGTCTTGTAATTCTTTGATGCAAAAGTGTAGGATAAAAGTAACTACATGTAATGGGCCTGCTTTATGAAGGAAACAAGTTCTTATTTCTTGATTATATTTTCTATTATCAAATTTACTTAAAAAAATATTATAGCTCTATAAAATATGCATTTCATTATACATTATATAGTGATAACTTTTTTAAAGACTAAAAGTCAAAATGAGTGTATTTTTAATCCTTAGGGATTCAATCTAAATGTAATGTAAAGGGTAAGGTTAAATTGTCTCATTTTTCATGGCATTTACAATTGGCATTTGGTATAAATATCACCAACATGTTGACTACCAAGGATAAGTGTCTTAGTTTCAACCTTAATTATACCCCCCGCAAACGAAGTTTAGGGGGGGGGGGGTATATTGGAATCAGCTTGTCCGTCTGTCTGTCTGTCTGTAGACGAGATTTTGTCCGGACCATTTCTTGGAAACTGTTGCAAGGATTTGTCTGAAAATTTGTACACTTATTCTTTGCCATATGAAGGTGTGCACCTGGTATTTTCATCATGATTGGATAATTTTTTTGCATTTTACAGGTGTTTTTTTTTCATTTTTATTATGTGGTTTTGTCCGGATCTGTTCCCAGAGACTATTGCTTAGATTTGTATGAAAATGTGCACCTGGTATTTTCAACATTATTTGATAATTTTTCTGCATTTTAGAGGGTTTTTTTTTTCATTTTTATTGACTTAGTCATTTCGGGTTCATGTCTAAGGTTTGAGACATAGAATCTAGAACATCTGTACAAAAATGTGAACTACAGCTTAAAACTATTCATTAGAACTAAAAAAAAAAAATCACAAAGTATTAAAAACAGTTTTTACATTACACAGCAGATAGTGTAAATCCATTTGTCTCTTGGGAGTAATGAGTGGACATGCATCCAGTTAAAGATTAATTAATGAGTTCAGTGTGGGAAGCTGTTAGGGCATCTCTGATCAAGCAGGTCTTATCTATATCTCCTGGGAATTAGGCAGAAAGAAATAAAGATCTTTGTTGTCTAAGTCTCTTAATTGTTATTTATGTCTGTCAAAATACATAGTTACTGGAACCAGCCTTTTATTTTTAGCCGGGCTCATTGCTTGAAGAGCAATGGCCGGCTTATGTTACGGTGTTCAACCGGAAATGCTGCTTCCTCACCGCCAAATTAAATACATGTACAAGTAAGAATATAGTACGTATGCTCAACCACCTTTGAGGCAATAAAACACTAAATTAAACAAATTTAACTTAACTAACAAAGAATTTCTCTAAACAAAACAAAACATTAATGGTAATATACTTTCTCCATTTTTCTTTGATTTATTAGAAATATGCAAAAGATTTTCACCAGATCTCCTTGTCTGGGTCACATTTTATAAATTAAGGTTGTGTTACCAGGCTAACACTGATGCGGGGAGCACATGACCCGATGTACACCTTTATGCAAAACTCCCCGCTGAGGACTCGTCTGCACATAAAAGTTTGACCTTCTGGATCAATGTTCATTTACTTATGTACTGTAAGTGGCGTAAGACACGAAACAACAAAAAAAATGTTAAATTCAAACTACGTTTTATTTTTTTTTTTTTAAACATTTTTAATTTATACTATATGCAATATATTTTTGTGTTACATATTCTTTTAGTGTCTGAACTTGTTGTTATTCATCTGTTATTACAATGTACATGTATGTTTCATGTAAAACGGTCTTTGTTCACTACTCTGTAAATGAGCCCGGCTCTCTGTACTTCTGAGTACTTTGATTAAAATGAGTTTGATATAAAGGTATTAAGATCAATTTGATTTTGTATAATTAATTATGATATTTTTTTTTCAACAATCAATTTGCAGAGTGTCATGTCTCACAAAGATGACAGATAGTTGCAAACTATTTTTTCAATGTAATAAAAAACACTGTAATTACTAGTATTGATGTTTTATTAGGCTGCACCTTAGTTTCATTCATTAAAAAAAAAATATAATGAGTAACTAAATTTTCACTCTAAATGTTTAAGCAAATTGTGAACACCTCTCACATCTAGAAAACGTTAGTGATTTGGTACCTTCTCTGAAAAACCCAGCGGGGGGTATTTGCCCCTTTTGGACAGTTCTAGTTTGAATTTTAAACTAATGTCTCAACTTTGATATCTTTATTCAGGGATATCACAAAGAATATTTATATATACCCTGCCATGAATATGGGCGGGGCATATAGTGTTTGTCATGTCTGTCTTCAATCCTTCTGTCCGTCCTGTCACACGTACTGCATTTAGCCCAAAAACTATTTAAGATATTTAAATCAACCCTCATATGCTGATACTTAAGAAATAAACAACAACGTTAAAAAAGTTCCCTGGGAAATCAACTTGATTCGTCGAATGATCAAATCCTGTGAAGCCCAAAGGGCTTCTCAGAAGATTTGATCACGTACCAACCAAGTTCATTTCCAAGTGAACTTTTTAACATTGTTGTTTATTACTTTTATTTACATTTGAGACGGAAATTCTGAAAAGAACTGCATTTATTACATGAACGGCCGCCGTATTGCTATGTTGTGACATGCAATGACCTAGAAGCTGTTTGGTATTGAGAGTTCGCCTCGCTCCAATATTTGAATACTTACATTGATGTTCAGCAGTCCAGTTCACGAAATATCTGTTCATAGTGAAAAAACAATGATTGCTACTGAGAATAATCTTACTATTATTGTATGAGTTCTTTGTATATGAAGTCAAAAGCGGTGGTATCGTCTTTAGTTTACATACATGTAGGCCTACCTTCAAAGGAATTTCGGGTTAAAAAGGTAAGCGTGATTATAGGCTTATTAAAAACATTCTTCACACCGAAGAAAGAACTAATGATCATTTGTTGAACGAAGAAAAACATATATGTTTCAATAATTTTATCTTTTTTATGCTTTAACGGTTTAGAAGTTCTGAAACCAGTGTCACCGGGACAGAAATATGTAGACAAGATATCATCTCGCTGTGCGATTCGGTCACACCATGACCTCTGACCCCCTAATAAGTTAATTCATACAGAATTGAACATATTTTCTCTTCAATAGGTTCATCTAAGAAAAATATTTCCAAATGTAAATAAATATTGTTGAAAGCTATTCATATGCATCAACATTTTTTGACTTTGACCTTTCCTTTCCTTTGACCTAGCTTGCATTGACCTCACTTTTCAAAAAGTTTGTGTTTAGCTCATTTTCAAAGATACTATTCAAAAATATTTCTATCAGACTTAATATGCTGATACACATTGGTGAGAGCTACAGCTTGTATTCAATTTCATCAACTTTTTTAACCTTAAGCTTTCCTTTGACCTTGACTACACTTTTCTCTGATTTGTGTTTAGTCAAGTTTCAAAGAAACTATTCAAGATATGTTATTAAACTGCATATGCTTATACATGTTGTGAAAGGTATTAAGTTGCAGGAACATTTTTGACACTGACCTTGCCTTTCACGTTGACCTCACTTTTCTTAAATTTGTGTTTACATGTAGCTAAGTCTCAAAGAAATTATTCAAGATATTTTCAAGTAAGCTTATGCATGGGTACATTATTTGGTGAGAATTCATTATTCCTGTTCATTTTTTTTTTTATCTTGACTTCCCAATGCCCTTTTACTTTACAATTTATTGTATGTAAAACTCAGTTTTATAGAAAATATTCAAGATATTTTCATCAAACTTCATACACTAATACAAATTTTCATGTTACACTACTGATGAACCCTTGATGGGGCATTCATGTCCTATGGACATGCATATCTAGCTATTAGTTATAAAAAAAATGAAATATGCATATTGTCATAATTACATGTAAGTTTAAGCTGGTTTTCTTTTTTTCCTGCAAAATTCCTTATTGCTAAACATTCTCTCTCTCTCTCTAGTTCGATCGATTGAAACTGAATTGGGGGAGGGGGCATCATATCTTTGTCCACAATTAAAATATTACCAGGTTCTTTAGGTCTTGTGTAAATCAAGAGATTTAATTACAACTCATTTGTGTCCAGCCATCTATAATGTATATATTTAAATGATCCTCCATCCATCTATAATATACATTTACACAATGTACAGATATCTTTAACTTCAATACATGCATGTACATAATATTATTTCTTAGTAATTCATAATACATACAATGCAGTACTACTAATATTCAATTAGGCCTTATATATATATGGCCCACTTAATAAAAATTCTACCATTTCATGATTTGTGGTGATACATGCATGTACATGTGTTACTACAAGTTCAACATTATTTTATGGGTTAAATGAGGATACTAGTATACATTTTTACCTGTCAGACAAATTAACTAAATCTAATAAAGTGTTAATTTAGTTTGAAGGAGAGAAAAAACAATATTAAGTGTATTTAAACTTAAGAAACAGTATTATTTAATTAGATATCTGAGGTAGACTTGCATGCATGGTTCTGATACCCTCCACTGAGAGACTTAATTTTAAAGTTTTAATTGTTATGTGATAAATATATAAATTGAAGTCTTCGATTGGCTTTTTTCCATCCAGTAATTTTTAGATTACAATATGATTTTTTTAAATTTCCATTTCTGAATCAATTTTCATGCTTATATAATTAAAGAATTAGTCAAATGTTGTTATGTAAAATTTATTTTCATTTTATGATTTTTCTCTGTATTGAATTTGCATAATAATTTAATCCCCCCCCCCCCCTTCATTGTGTACAACTGAACATTTTTAGCTCACCTGAGCTGAAAGCTCAAGTGAGCTTTTCTGATCACCCGTTGTCCGTCGTCCGTCTGTCCGTCCGTCTGTAAACTTTTCACATTTTCAACTTCTTCTCAAGAACCACTGGGCCAATTTTAACCAAACTTGGTACAAAGTATCCTTGGGGGAAGGGGAGTTTAAATTGTTAAAATAAAGGGTCAAGTCCCCTTACAAGGGGAGATAATCAAGAAAAGACAAAAATAGGGTGG